CCTCCGGTCGAAAGGCCGCGCAGGGAGGACGCCGGCCCCTCGCACCAACGAGTCAAAAAGCCCCCACCCCCGGCCGCCCTCGCCGCCCCATTTACCACGCACGCCTCTCCCCTCTGGCTCACGCCCCCCCCCCCCCGCGCCGGGCTGTGGACCTCGGAGCACGCACGCGCGACTCGGGCTGGCCACATTGTGTAATGTTATTGCACAAATCGCATTCCACTCTCCTCTCGAATCACGCCCGGGGAGTTCTGTGTGATTCGTTGCATGACCAGCGCCACGGACGGGCATGTGCCAACTAACCCCCACCCGTGCTGGATCCTGCTTTTAAGCACGCCTCTGCTTCTCGGCGCCGACCGTGCGGAGAGATCCGCCTTCGACCTGGCGCCGCTTTTGACCCCGCCTTCCGCCCCCCGCCCCCCCCCCCCCCTCTCCTGGGCGGCGGCGGAATTGGGCGCACAAAAGAAGGATGAGATCGCGGAGCGGCGCTCGAACACGAGCAGGTCAATGGCTGATAATGTACAGGTGTTTGTATTGGCTGGGTGGATCCAGAGGAGCAGAGGGGGACCAAAGGAGGAGCGGATGCGCCTCCGGTGCAGGAAGATGCATCTATGTGCACATGGCTGTGGGGGTCGCCTACGCGCGTATCACCACCGCCCCCCTTTGCGTTCTTCTGCCCCATGGTCGAGGAGGTAAAAAAAAAGAAAAACAGAGTGGGCATGAGCTCGAGGGGAAAAAGACAAACGGACAAGCGAGAGAGGGGGAGATGAAGAAAGCCGCAGCCCCTTTTCTCCGCACCTGCCGGCCATCCCCCCCCCCCCCTCTCCAGCTTGCCTTTAGGCAAAGTGGATCCCCGCCTCGTTGAAGGCCACCAGGAGCTTCATGTAGTCATCGAGGTCCATCTTCCCGGCACGAGCATCCGACAGCCCGGCCTTGTCAATGATGTCGGTGACCAGATCCTTGATCTTCTCCTTGTCCAGGCCGTCGACGGATTTCCCCGACACACTGGCAAATGCCCGGTAGTTGGCCTCCAGCATGGCCAGCACTGAGTCCACCTTGAAGTTGGAGGAGATCAGCTTGTTCTTACGGGCAAAGGCAATCCGCAGGAGCCCATCCCACTCGGTGAAGTTGATGGGCGGCGGGGGGCAGATCGGCTCGATGCGCACCACCGACGACTCGACCTTGGGCGGGGGGCGGAAGTTGTTGCGGCCAACCTTCATCGCGTGGGTGGTCTGCCACGCGCGCGCGGTGGAATGACGGAAAGAAGGACGAGAACAGAGTGGATCAGTCCATCGGCGTGCCAAGAAGCGCCAAGGGAGAAGTGGCATCGGAGGCGAAGGCGAAGGCGGGAGCGGAGGACGAGAGGCGAGGTCAGAGGGAGCCCGACGCAAAGCACAGCGAGGAAGAGGCAGACCACCCCGGTGTGCCACCCACCCCTGGGACTCGTTGCTGGCCCGCTTGACCAGCGGGGCATGGGCCGGACGCACCTTCGACAGGAGCTGGGTGTTGACACTCAGGCGGCAGTACAGCTCATCGCCGGGCTTGGCCACCAGGCGCAGGGCGAACTCTCGCTGGTACATGAGCAGCGCCACGCGGAACTGCGGCCGGTGCAGCAGCAACTTGAAAGTAATGCCGGACGAAATCTGGTACGGCAGGTTGGCCACGCACACGTCGAAGGCAGGCAGCTCCACCTTCATGGCATCGCCGAGGATGATGTGGAGCTTGTGCTCGTGAGGGCTACGGACAGCAGTACGAAGAAGGACAGGTCAGTTGGGAAAGCCAGGGGGGAGGGGAGGGGGGGGGGGGGGGTCAGCCTCAAGAGAGAAGACGAAAGGCGCATTGCAGGGAGACGCATTGGCAAACGCACTGGCCCTGCAGACGCTTGCGCAGCTCGGCCGCCATGCGCGGGTCCACCTCGACCACGGTCACCTTCTTGGCCGCCTCCAGCAGCTTGACCGTCATGTTACCGGTACCCGGACCAATCTCCAGGACATGATCCGTGGCCCGGACGTCGGCCTTGGCAATGATGCCATTCACCACCAGCGGGTTCTTCAACAGATGCTGGCCAAAGTCCTTGTTCAGCTTGGGACCCAGCGACCGGGGAGTGTTGTCCTGGCCCGAGGCGGCGGCGCTAACGACCCCCGAGGCACGGCCAGCCGCCGTGCCGGACGCCGCAATGCCGATGGTGGCCGGCAGGTTGGCGGAGGCTGAGCCTCGAGTGACGCTGGATCGCATACGGGACATGATGTAAGGGGAGAAAGAGGGGGGGAGGGAGGGAGGGAGGGAGGGGCAGGCAAGGAGTTGAAGCGAGGCGAGGCACAAAGGGAGGGGGCTCATTCTGGCCCACACGAAGGCCAGTTGGCCGTGCACCGGCATCTCTTTGACAAGTCCCCTCGAGCGTGCGTGGGTACACACTCAGACGCGCGCACGCACGCACGCACGCACGGACACGGGGATCGCGCGAGGGGATTGCATGGAAGGTCATATCAGGGCGCGGACCCCGGGGCGGACCCCTGAAGGGAGGGAGGGGAAACGGTGCCTTGATGGGGCGGGCCGGGGGCGGGGGGGGGGAGGGGCAGACGGCACCCGGAAACATCCAGCCAAACATGCACACACACACACACACACACACACAAACACGGACACAGGCGGACACGAACGGACACGGACGCGTGCAGGCATTCGGACGCCGGAGTTGAAGATGAGAGGGAAAGGGCCATGCGAGTGTATGTCGCGTGATCATCAATCGATAGAAGTGCCCACTCTCACAGCCGGATATTATTGGCCTCGGCTGACTTGAATCCGCGTCTTCCCATCCCGAGCGACCACCACCAAAGAGAGAGAGAGAGAGAGAGAGAGAGAGAGAGAGAGAGAGAGAGATGAAAGATCCATGCCAGGGAAAGGCCACACACAGGCGGAGCGAGGGACGCGGCTTGAAGACGTGGCTAGAAAGAACAAAAGGAGGCCAGGCGGAGGAAACCCCGCAAGATCTCCCACCCGAGGACATCAAAGCGCCGCCTCTCCTTTCCTCGGATCCCTTCCAGGCGGAAAAAACTCTCTCTCTTGTGTGTTGTGAATTTATTGTTGTTAGGGGGGGGGGGGTCGTTGCCCCCTCTCTCCGAACGGGGAGGGATAGGAGAATCCGCCATGGCACTTCCACGGGGGGAGGGAGGGAGAGAGAAAGAGAGAGGGCAACGCAGGGTGGGTGCCCCTCATGCGGCCCTCGTTCCGGAAGGGACAGGACGCGCATGGCACACACGCACGTGCGCTTGGATGTGGCTCTAAGCTGCTACTTCTTGGCGCCCTGCTGCTTCTGCTGGCGCTCATGATGGCGCGCGGCATTCTCCTGGCGCTTGGCCTCGCGATCAAGGAAGGCCTTACGCGCCTCGACATCGAACTTGCACGCCGGCGAGAGGGTGATGCGCAAGACCGCCGACAGGGGGAGGGCCTCATCCTCCATGGAAGCCACCCGACGGAAGATCAGGAACCCATCCGACAGAGGAACGCGCTCCTTGACACCGGGGATGCTGACCATCGGCGCCGAGGAGAGAGCCCGCATCAGGGCGATGAAACGCCCCCCACGCGGGTGACCCACCGTCTGCGGGGTGGGGTTGCTGCCGGCCAGGGCCCCGGGCTCCGGGCGCTCCAGCGGGAAGGGATGGTTGGGCCGGGTGCCAGAGGCATCGGTCACCTCGGCCGGGCCAACCCGCACACCGCGAATGTCACCGGGCACCAGGGCCCCGCCGACCATGAAAATCTCGTCCCAGGTGGGCAACGAGGCCAGGATCAGGCGAACCTTCTGCAGGTCCACCTTGGTGGCGCTGTCTGACGGAGTGGCAGCCGACGGGCGGAGGAGCTGGCGCAAAGCGAGACCGGCCTTCTCGGGGCCGGCTTCGGCGGCCTTCAGGAAGGCCTTATACTGTCATGGAGGTGTTGGCCAACAGCGGGGCAGGGGGGGGGGGGGTCTTGGTAAGAATATGCATCTGCGTGCCTTGTCCCTGGTGCGCATGCATGGGAGACAGGACAAACGACCGAGGGGAAGCATGGAGGAAGAGGGAGGGGGAGAGAGAGAGAGAGAGACGTACGCGGTCACCATGCAGGGAGTCCTGGTGCTCGGCAACCTTCCCGGTGTACTCGGTGGAAGTATTGACAAAGGCCACGCTGAAAACCCGGCGAGGGACCAAGGCAAGCCGAGAAGGGGTCAGAAAAAGAAACACGCAAGTGGAGAGGGAAATGCCAAGGAGGTGTGGCCCTACCAGGTGACAATGTAGTCCTCGGGGGTGTCGATGCCCTCATGCTTCAGGTACTGACGCAGGGCCTTGGCCTTGGCGTGGTTCTCCAACACCGGGTTGCCATGCTTGCGCGTCTGGCCGGTGGTGGTCGTCTGGCTGTGGAGCAGTTTGGGACCCGGCAGGTCGCGACCCGTGGCCGGTCGCGAAAGGGTGCGAATGTGTTTGCATGTGTTTGTGCGTGGGCGTGATGGTTAGCACTGGCCGATGAGGAGGAGCCGCCAGGCGACAAGCGGCAAAGGGCAGGCTGCTGGCGCGCACGTCAGGTTCTGGAAGGAGGGCGAGCTGACGATCGACCCGCCATAGTTCTTGATCTCCACGACCAGACAGATGCCAGGCAGGGCAATGACCGCATCGGCCTCAAAGCGGCGCTTCGGCCGGGGCGGGGCGGTCCCCTCGGTGATCAGCTCGCCCGGGATGCGCACGTTGCCGAACACCGCGCGGGCCTTGGACTTGTTCAGGTGCTTGACAAGATGCGCCTCGAGCTCCTCCTCACCGGCACGGCCGGCGTCACGAGCCACGCTCGGCGCGTACGCCTCGTGCGTCAGGCCGACCTCGGCCGCCGAGGAGGGCGGAGACCCGAGGTTCCACGCCTGCGAGAGGCGCTGCGAGAGACCCGGCGAGGGGTACGCCGGGTTGGTGGCCTTGTAGAGGGTCGCATTCGGGGGGATGGGCTGAGGAGGGGCCATCGTGTATGTGTGCGAGG